AAAAAAAAAAAAAAAAAAAAAAAAAAAAAAAAAAAAAAAAAAAAAAAAAAAAAAAAAAAAAAAAAAAAAAAAAAAAAAAAAAAAAAAAAAAAAAAAAAAAAAAAAAAAAAAAAAAAAAAAAAAAAAAAAAAAAAAAAACAGTAAAGATCTGCTTAAATTCATGTTCAAACATCTCAATCTTATCCTCGCAGACTTTTCTGGACACTTAAATATAATACAGCTAATGATGAGGGATTTACTGTTTGTTCCCATGCATGGTTATCTCAGGTTTGAATCAGTTGTTTTCAAGAGGGAACAAGTCCATCTTTGCATGAGCCTTTGGCTTGCATGAAAGGACATAACCAGTGGCGTTGCGTGAATGACCGATAATCGATATTTCTCCATTTGAAGGTATGGTAAAGAATCGATTATTAAGGTGTTCGCTGCGAACACCCAGTTTATCGATCTTTTTCCATAGGTTTAAAAGGCAGATCTATCGATATATCGCAAAGCACGCCACGCCACTAGACATAACTAAGACTCATCGAGGAATGGACGTGTTACCTTTTGAAAACAAGTGATCCTTTTGCACAAAGTTTAAAATAGTAATATTCGATTCATGTTATTCAATGGAAACATTGAGGACTGCCTAAATTCCAAACCAAAACTATCAAAATCATTCATGAGAACTTTTAAAGCCAAGTCTATCATTCTGCGAAGTTGATTTCTAGTTTTTTTTTGCATCTTCAGATTATTATCATAACACTTTCAAGCAACGATTTATAGGGTAGCAGAGCATGGCTTCAACAAAACCACCTCAGGTTGAGGAAAGAATCAGGGTCAGGAAAAAAATGACATTAAAAGAAGTTATATTAAAGTACCAGATCAGATCATGTACTCCCTAGTCAAGCATTAAAATTCTCAGAGATTCATCCAACATTCTGAGGGAAATAATATGTTTTTTACTGTTGCAAAGCAATCTGGGTGAGGGGAAATATAGTGCGACTTTCCTCATAAATGTGAAGATAGAACTCAATGGAAAGGAATAGGGATAATTCAAGGGAGCAAATCCCACAAAATACATTAGTGGGATGAAGAAGAAATTAGAAAAGTTACGGAGCCTCCCATGAGGAAGTTAGCGGTTGGCAATCCGTGCCGACACGTTTAACAGGCAGATGTATTTAGTGAGGGCGTTGATACCAGGAAAACAATTCAACCCTGTAAATACTACTCGGAGAGAACTTTCGAAGCAGTAAAACTTTCGAAGACCAAACTCATTCGGAGGCTGGATTCAAGATTTCTTTAACCGATTGTTTATTGGTCTGAGGAATAGATTCCATTTTTTTCTCAGCGGAAACGCCTCTTACAAATGTTACATTTTCCGAATCATATCGATGTCAACAATTTCACATCAGATACAAGATTAAGTAGCACCGCGTCCAAGATATTGAACCCCATGCTCAGCCTTGATATACTTGCCTCCTCATCTCGTCCAAGATCTTGGACTCCATGCTCATCGCTTAATTTCTCACTTCTTTGCTTGAGCATGGAGTCCAAAAGCAAGCAGACCTCCCTTTAGTTTTAAAGTTCATCATGAAAGAAACTCGTTTACTTCGCTTATCTAATCTAACTTGAACTAACTTAGCCTAGCCTAACCTAACCTAATCTAACCTAATCCAACCTGACATAACCTAAGCAACGCACAATTTTTTTCGAGGACACATTTTTTCGTCTTTATTTCACAAACATTGCATTAATAAATGTTTGGACCCTATGCTCGTGTATTGTCAGAGAATACGTGCATTCCACAATTCTGGACGCTATGCTCACTTCGATTTTTCGAAAAAATCATCCCTAATTAAAGTGAGCATGGAGTTCAAGATCTTGGATGTGATGAGCAACCGAACATGATATAGCTGAGCATGGAGTCCAATATCATGGACGCGATGATAAATTACCAGATACAATACATTTGAAAGACCATATGCAAGTAATGCTAGCAGTTTCTACAAAGGTTTTTCCGACTCGATGCGAGGCGATGTTTTTCATAAATGTTCAAAAAGCGGAGAATTTTGCACGGCAGTTTATGATACAAATATTTTAACTCTGGTGTGAGCGGTGAAGTATCACACAAAACTGAAGGCGTTTTCGACTTGTGACAAGAGTCAATGCTTTAACGGTTACACAGCCCTAAAAAAGAAATGCTATTGAGGCTGACAAAGAGATATGTTAATATCTTTGCTCCGATTTTTACATATAATAATCCTGCATGATTTATAAGTTTTGGTCATTCCAGAAGTTTGTGAAACAACGAAGCTTTTTGGTATTTTTTATTTATTTTATGCTTCATTTTATTCTCCAACTGCATATCTATTTTCCTCACTAAAGCTAAAGCCCAGTCCTTGCAACCGAAGTTTATTTCTCTGTGCGTACTGTCTAAGCTCAGAGAGCCTTCAATTCGGAGGAAATGCAAGGTCTGTACGTTTCACAACAGTGAGAAAACACAAAAATTTTCAGGATATTTGCCGGATATTTTGGACAAAGTACGCTGTTTTCGTGATAGATTGAATCAGTGAATCATCTCCAGAAATTTCATCTAAAATGCAGTAAGGGTTTATGTTGATTGCTTAGCAATATTGGTTCCTCGTCATATAAATCAATGGCGGTGTTTCGATACTAAGAGGAGCCAGGTGCTCTCACAAGAATCGATTATCCAACACAGGGTTAAATGGAGGGAAGCCGATGTTGCCAACCCACTGGATCTACTGGATCTCGCGAATCGATATCAGTGGCGTGGCGTGAATTGCGATATATCGATTGTTATGCCATTTAACCCTATGGTAAAGAATCGATTATTAAGGTGTTCCCTGCGAACACCCTGTTAATCGATCCTTTTCCATAGGTTTAAATGGCATAACAATCGATATATCGCGAAGCACGCCACGCCACTGATCGATATGTGTCCCGTTACTCATCTGAGTGATATTTTGCAGTTTTTTCTGCTAGCTTCTCTAAAAACAATTTGCAGAGATTTGACAAAGAAAAAAGACATTCTCAATGAAGAAATATTAAAGTTTATTTACAAAAGAAACTGTACAGAGTAGTTGGTGACTTATAGCAAAGGCATCCTTAGAATTAGTTAAATTTCCATTTAAATTAACAATTTTGATATTACTTCAATACCTAATCAATTTACATGGCGAAACGTTAACAGGTAAAAAATAATTTAACTACTGGACCTTGAGGTCAAATCTAATCTTAACATACAATCTAATTTTTACATCAGTTAGGTAATATTATCAGTCAAAATTCTTTCATCGTGGTAAAAAAGACCCTTTATTCCAATTTTTTGGGGAGGCAAATATATTCAACACGTGTCGTCTTCTTCCTCTTAAATATTTTTGAATTTTAGGGTCTTCGCCCAAAAGTACGTTGAAAATGAGCACGGGGTATCGAAAAAGAGGTCAACGCATCTGACCTCTTTCTGCAGAAAAGACATAACGACTATTGATTTTTGCATGTCGATGCGGACGGTTTTGTAAATTCGTTCAAACATTAGTTCCTCTCTAAACGCTATCGAGATGAAGTTAAGAATTAATTGCCATTATTTTGAAATTTCAAAATTTCTACATTTTGATATCATTTTACTGGTAAATGGTGGCTTTTGTTGATACATTTTTACTCTTTATGGATCAGAGAATCAGTGGAAAGGCCCTTGTTGCTTTTTGCAAAATTATAACTCTTTTGAAATTACGAGGCAACTGATCTTAAGACAAAATATGTTTTCCAGTTTCTAAAAAAAAAAAAAAAAACGCTGATCAGATTTTCCAGGGTTAGAGAATGCCTTCATTAGCTCATGATCTCACTTTTTGGCCTTGGCGCCTTATATGGATAAACTCAAAATGAGAATAAAAAGAAGAAGAAGATGCAGATTGGATTTTTTCTTTGAGTAATTTAAGGCTGAAGAAAAAATGTCTGGGAATATGGTTGAGAAATATATATAAATTCTCTGAATCAATCACAATATTCATCAATGAAGTTAAAAAAAAAAAAAAAAAAAAAAAAAAAACCCAGCATAGTGCGAACAGAGATTGAGCCCATATCCTTTTGTGCTGTCAGTAATCTTCTACTTTATAAAAAATATGAAATAATTTTTCGTTGTGATTTTTTTTGTTCTTCATTGAAACATACATGATTTTGAGAACTTGAAAATTATCACCAAAATCAATAGTTTGCAGTAATCTGATTTTCAAGTAAGAAAAGTAATTTATTTTAGAAATTCGTCAAGGACTGACTGACTAAAATTCGTATTTCTAAGAAAAGTAATTCACTCGAGAAATTAGTCAAGGACTGACTGACTAAAATCCACCTTTGTAATGAAGCATTTACTCATCAAAAGCAAGTCAGATTTCTGTAATGCACTATTTCTAAATCAAGATTGATAATTATCTAAAAACATATTTAATTCTCTACAGGCTATTAGAGAAAACGAGGAAAAGATCTGTATGAATTCTCATTTCCTATGAGATGAAGTATTACACCTACTCATGATGAGTTTGAAAAATTAAGTGATAAAATTGTTTCAAATGGATATCCGCAAACCTTAAAAAATTTTTACGAAGGATCATAGGTCGTGAAATTAGAAAAACATGTACACTTGGGACCTGATATACTTTTTGGTGAATTAAATTATTATCTAAGACCGATCGTTCAATGCTGAGCCATTATTTTGCATGTTTCTTCATTTTCTTTCTTCACATACTAAGAAATCTGTGAGAATCCAATTCATTACAACGAATGCATACAACGAACGCATACAACGAATCGAGACACGTATTTTCAAACACACTCTTAACATGTCGCGCACTAATGAAAATCACAAATTTCGTCAAATGCCGAGGCAGACAATGAATAATTCTATCTTAGACTTAAAACATGTTTATCTTGATTTTTGTCGTGGAAATGATCTGAATAGGTATCCAGACACGAGCTTAAGGTTCAGTTAGCAATTAATTTCTGAGTTTTCCATGACTTGTTGGTGCTTAAGAAACATGTTCCGCGAAAATGCTTGATGCTTTCATGAAATAAAGATTATGCAAAAGTTTAAATGTAAAAAATTATGTTAAAAATTTTGCTTTTTCGAATTTACACAATTTCCATATTTTGAAATCTTACCAGTGTAGAAAAAAATACAATAAGGATTTCCATCAAAAAGTTGAAAAACATATGTCTTCAAAATTTTACAATCGGTCTATGCAAACAATTACCTGATTTGACTAATAGCCTTCGACATTCACACTAAGATGTATCCCACCTGTTATGTCGTTTAATTCACTTCATTTTCTTGAGTAGCTCATATCCCAGACTATTTATCTTTATCTGTGGGGGTTCGCCCTTGCAAGTTTCTGAATATGCGAACATCAATTTTAAAGATTTCATACCAATACTGCCACGCAACGAAGGAACGTCTTATGAGCATTCGAGAGGTGTCAAAGTTCCTCGGATGAAACATGTATTTTTGAGGAAATTTATAAATATTTTCCCTTGACATTTTCAGATATCTCAGATTAAATTACGAACAAAATTGTAGGAAAAATTTGAAGACAAGTACTGTCAAGTCCCTGTAAATTCGTTTTGTATATACCGGGGAAAATATGGCAACGCCTGAAGGCTCATACAGCGTTATTCGTTAGCATAGCGGAATACCATCGAGAACAAGTCATTTCGAGGCACGGAAGTCGTAGTTTTGGTTTATTTCGAAGACTCAAAGGAAGTAAACTTTGGTCGCGGTGAACGTCATCTTCAAGCGCAGTGTAGTGAAGCGTTTTTATGGCACCGCAGTGTATGAAGACATTTTATCGAGTTAGTACAGCATAATGGCTCCATTTCCTTTCTCTTCGCTCATCGAGATGGATTTTTTCTTCAGGCCATTCCCCGTCCCGTGGTATATGATGAGGAGATTGATCAGGTTTACTCCGATCCCAGCTGTTACGAACCTGCAATAAAATATCGGAATTTGATGAGAGAGCGTATTTAAAAATACTCACACTGAAAAAAAAATCTCGGTGTATTTATTAAGAAAAGGGTAAAATTACCAAGAATTCAGGGTTCTATTTGATCCCAGTTTTTTCTTGGTAAAATTACCATTAATGGAATTGGTAATTTTACCAAGAAATCTCGGTAAAAGTATTGAACCTTCTCGGTAATTTTACTGGACCTTGGTAAAAACGCCTATATTTTTTATCGACTGTGGTAGAATTACCGAAATAAAATGGCAAAGTTACCGGGAATTGATTACCAATAAAAGTGGTATTCTTACCTGAAAAACCAGTAAACATACCGGTTTTTAGGTAAGCTTACCAGTCTCTCTTGATAAAATTACCAATGATTGGTAAAAAAAGTGAGATGGTAAAGGTACCAACGGACCTTGGTAAAAACGCCGAGAATTTTTTTCAGTGCATGAGTGTCGGGACAAAAAACGGCGCACAATGGATTGGGTCATTCAGGGAGGTCGAACTTGAAATTTTTGACTATAACTGCAAATTTCGATGTTTAAATCTGTCACATTTTAAACTTTTAGGGGTGCTCTATGAAGAAAATATCACGAGAAAACCAGTGAAGCCACTATTAAAATCTCAAAGTTTTGGTTTAACGGAGTTATTAGCTTTTAAAGTTTCCAAATTTTGTCCGACCTCGCTCGTTGACTCGATCCGGTGTGTGTGGCGACAGAGTAAGTACGAGGGGAGGGAAGTTATACACGTTTTTAAAGGAAATACGAGTGAGTAAGGATTTCGATTTTGCCTCTGAAAGAGTTTGAAACAGCTCTGGTAGCATTGTCTGTTTTCGGCCTTTGTAAAGGAGTAGACTCATTGGACCGCGTTTAGCTGGAAGAAACCAAGCCACATCGGCCCGAATTTAACTGGGCAATTTAATTTTTTACAAGAGAACATCTGCGCGAATTCCTTTGACCATCTTACAGAATTTGCTCCTTGCCATGCAGAAAATTCGCCGAGATTTGCAAAAAAATCCGCACAACCGTTTTCATGTAAACAATTAAATTGCCAAATTGAATTTAGCTTTAGGTGCTCTGGCTTGATTCCTTTCTGCTTAGCGCGGTCCAATGGGGTTGTTGCATATATGAGGAATTTGTGATTTGACTGCTGATTCTTATGTAAAAGTTCGCGAGAAACACGATGGTGCCACTGGCTTTCTCTGAGATTAACTCCCAAGCTCAAAAAAAAGTTCTCAAGTTGAGGCCAAAATGGAGGGGGTATCCCCCCCTACTCTGAGAGTCCACCTCTACATCAGGACGAACTCTCCATGCCAAAGATAGGGAGCAAATACATTAGCAGGGATGCCGTGTTTTCAGTCTTAGAGTTCCTAAATAAAGTGGCAGCCCTGTCAATGTATTTGCTCCTTATCTTTGCATGGAGAGTTTGTCATGATGTAGAGGTGGACTGTGGACTCTCAGGGTAGGGTGGGATATCCCCTCCATTTTGGCCTCAACTTGAGAGCTTTTTTTGAGCTTGGGAGTTAATTTCAGAAAAAACCCGTGGCACCATCGTGTTTCTCACGAACTTTTACATAAGAATCAACAGTCAAATCGCAAATTCCTCACACATGCAACATCTCCATTATTAAAATGTGTACAAGGTATTCAGACACGCTTCCTCTTTTTTAAGTAAGGTTCGTGCAAAATGTAATTTACAAATAATTTAGACTCGGACATTTTGTGTGTGTCCATCAACATAATTATCAATCAGTAAAAAGAAAACAGGAAAAAAAATGCTCAAAATCTTTCACGAAAAGCCACATTGCTCTCAATGTCACGAATAACAACGTGCATACCTTGACCTAAAGAGATAAGCATAAAAAATAAAATTACGGGGATCTAAGTTTAAATAATAACTCAGTTTTAAATCGATAAAAAGTAGCCCCAGCTCCTCTCCTCCCCCCTCTCCAAGGCCGAAGACGAGCAATTTACGCGGAAAAAAATTAAATTTTACCTATTTCCTATTCATTTTACATTTCTATCGCAAAATTTGCATATGTTAAGGATAGCGTAGGCTCTACTGAATCAAAACTTGGCCGTGCTGAATTTTCACGGTCATTGATAACATTGTTTTCCTATGTCTCTCAAACTAAAAACATTGAAACTAATTTTAACTTGTCTTATCTACTTTGAACACACAATTCTCATATTTTTAATATTTTTTCTCCTTCTGTTACTGGGATGAATACGAAAAAACTTTGAGACGAATCATTGTTCATACATTTAAGTCACTCGTCAAGATTAGGCACGAAGCCATTAAGAAATACAGAATCTTTCGTGCGGGAAGAAGAGGGTCACGTAACGAGGGACGAACCTGAGAACAAAGCTGACCCGGAAAAGATCGAAAAATAGTTAAAATTTAGGCCAAGGTTGCCATTGACAATACCCTTATGATTTACGGCTACGCGTGTAATTACGGTAGCAGGGGCGGATCCAGCAATTTTGCAGCATCGGATTTTCTCCATTTAAACCTATGTTGAATAATAGATTCTTATTGAACCTGGCCCTGGCCCCTCCAAGAATCGATTCATTCACATAGGTTTAAATGGAAAATAAACAATGTTGCCAATTGGCTGGATCCACCAATGTAATTATGAGACCTCTACGAATATATTAAAAAAATTAATTTCCTTCGAATGCATATGGATTGCATTTTGCAAAAAGGAACCAAGAGCATTTCAATGTTGCTAGGATTGTGCAACTTATATTTCTCACAATAAAATTACCAAAACCTTGCAAGAAATTAAATTAACTATAGAAATTTTCGTGTTGAATTTATAGTTTACTGGGAGTAAAGATAAAACATGTATAGATGATCAGTTTGTATTTGCGAGGTAAAAAAAAAATTACACAATCTTAGCGAAGTTGGAATGCTTGTGGTTCCTTTTTGCAAAATGCAATCCATGTATCTGTTAGCGGCAAAACCCGATTCCAGGCAAAACTAGTTTTGCCTAGGCAAAAATTTATTTTTCCGAGGAATCTAGTTTTGCCTGCGCAAAGTGGGCAAAACTAGTTCCGCCGGAGCGCTGTCAGTTTTGCCTGAACACGACCAGGCAAAACTAGTTTTGCCGGACCAGGAAAACTACGTAAACCAAAACTTAAAAAAAAAAATAAAAAATTTAAAATAAAAATAATAATTCAAAATTAAAAATTAAAATATGTCCTGCTCATCTCTATTCGCAGGCTCCACTGAGCCCTGACTGCAAATTTCGAGGTTTACCATGGACAATCTTCAATTCTTTCCATAATCCAGCAAGTTGAGTTACAAGTTCGTTGACGAATTCCCGTCCATTATCTGAGTGTAAAATACAAGGGGCCCCAAAAGTTAAAAAAAATATCTAATAACACCGAACCAACCGTGGCTATTTTTTTAGATTCTAAAGGCTTCAACACACACAACTTAGTCAGGTGGTCCCGGTAGTTTAACACTAATTTAAATTGACCATCTGCTTGTGATTGGTAGTCAATTAGGTCCACCTGGCACCTACTATTCATCTGAGAGTACACTATGGGGTTGGACACAACGCCTCTTTGTTGGCGGAACTAGTTTTGCCGGACCTCATCAGTTTTGCCTGAACATCAGCAGGCAAAACTAGTTCCGCCTTCGGTCGGCTAGTTTTGCCTACGCATATCAGGCAAAACAGGTTTTGACTAGGCAGATCTAGTTTTGCCGGTTCATTTCTGGCAGAACTAGATTTGCCTAGGCAAAACTAGATTTGCCTAGGCAAAACTAGTTTTGCCTGGAATCGGGTTTTGCCGCTAACATATCCATAGAGTGAGGCGTCTGTTGGTCGAGTAAGGTTCCCTCTAGATAAATTATCGTACATACAAAATTCCATTTTTTGGAATGAAATTTTTTTCAAGAAGTTTAAATTTTAATGTCTTGCTGATACGATCAGTAATTTACAGCTTCATTTCAGTTTTTAATTTAAAATTCAAATAATTTTGAAAGCGACCACAGTCACTCATGAAATTCCAGTCGTTAGTTTTGAGCCATGAAAAAGTTCTTAAATCCTGGGATACAAAGAACTGCACCCCACATACGACAATGTGCGAATTTCTATGACTATTATGAAAAACTTGTTTTCATAAATGTTTGCGGTGTCACAAAATAATGAGCCGAACATTTTTTTCCGAGACTTGCGCGAATCCCCAGTATTCGCGGGGAATTTCTTGATCATTTTGTCTGCATAGAGTTCCTTCCTTACTGAAATTTAACGATGAGAGATTAAGTTTTTTCTGACGACGAAAAGTGTTTCTTTCTTTACTACGAGACAAATTACAAGTCATCAAATGTTTAACTAATTTAAGACGTGTTGTTGACATTGTTAATATGACTCCGTCATCTTTGTTACCGACTGCTACTTGTTGCTAATCAATATCAGGTTCAATCATCGAAACACGAGTCAAAGACTAATGTTAACTTGTATTAACAATTGGACGTATTTCTGCCAAACGGAGCTATGTGCATTATGACGTGAGCCCTATTAAGCATATATTCTTATGGGTTTCTGGGCTCATGTAGTTCCGTTTGGCAGAAATACGCCCAATTAGGCTTGTCCTCATTGGTGGACTGACAAGTTGGCAACATTGCTTCCTCTCCGTTTAAATCTATGGAAATGAATCGATTATCTGAGGGGCTAGGTGTCAGGTGCTTCGAAAAGAATCAATTATACAGTATATCAATGAAGGAATGTCGTTGTTGCCAACCTGCTCCTGCTGCATCCACTTCTGATAGACCTATCATCGTTTCCTGTTCAAATAAACGTAACTTCATTCCAAGGTAGCAAAATTGACTCGAGCAATTTAATTTTTTACAAGAATACACCTGTGCAATTTTTGTCCAAGAATTTCCTGATTTTTGCATGCGGTCAGTAGAAAAATCAGTGAAAGCCAGAAATGCCTAAGATTTCCCTGGTGAAAATGCAATTTGTGAAGGAAAATTTGGCAACATTGAAATGGGGTTGCGTTTTTTCGTCAGGGGAGCGACGCTATGTACAAGTTATTTCATACTAACCAGAAGGAAATCCCGAAGGTTGCAAGACCCTCCGATGTCCAGAAGTTCCGCCGGTCGGACAAACTCATCACATTGTATTGCAGCTTTTCGTAATACTGCAAGGACCAAACTAAAATAGCTACTAATTGAGAACAGACTGAAACACACAAAAAAATCGGAAGAATAACGATGTGTGCCACAAACTGTGAAACGACAAAAAGTAATGAGAGACGTATGAAGTCGTCAAAATTAAGCTCCTTTGTTTGATCTCATATCAGTCATGCCAGAAGAGCGGGGTTACATTTGAAACATTTTACGAGAGGTCAAACGATTTGAAGAATCGGAACGGGGAGGCTTGACTGTGTAATTCTGTGACTTGCAATTACAATCACAGCGTTTAATGCGATACTGTCTGATTGACACAATTAATTGCACGCATATTTTCTTAAATGAATAATTTCACGCAGCATGACCTCTCATCGAAGATGTAACTGTGATGAACAAATGAACTGGTACCATTTCATAAAGGCGTTCTCTAATTGAATACAAATATAATTAAAGACAACCCTGGTAAAAATCGGCGATAAGAGCTGCGTTTCAAAAAACCAAAGGAATTTTTATAGCCGGCTAAAGATGGCTACAGAAAATCATATAGCTGGCTGTAGAATGCGGAGAAAATCACACGGCCGGGCTATACGAAGCGATAAAAAATTATGCAGACGGGCTATAGTTCCTATAGCTTTACACTTTATCGCCTGGCTGTTGCTTTTTCGCCATCGATTATAAAAGGCTATAAGATATTGTGTAGAAATTCGTGTGCTTTGGAAATCATTAACTTTGATACGGAACCACCTTAATATTTACAAAACACACGTTATATTTTCCTTTAATACATATTTTTTTCCATCAATTAAAACGAGAATAATCCATACACGATGTACAAACATTTCAAAATCATGAGTTGAATAACGCTGACTCCGCCAGATTAAATATTAGAGCCTAACACAAAGCGGAGCGGCGACGCGCTGGCGCCTACAAACCTAACAGGGATACTTCACGCATTGCGCAACGCGTTTGTAGGCGCCAATGCGCGTTACGCGCTGGCTGCCCGCCTGCCGCACCGCAGCGTGTCACGGCGCTTGAAGCAACTATTTCACACCAGAAGTATTGCACAGTATCATACGAAACTGAAGGCGCTCTAATATATTAGGAACGGCAGGCATCCATCAAAAGTACGGAGCTTGCCTCGCAAAATAAATCAAGATACTACGGCCCAAAAAGAGAGCAGTGGTCCAAAAACTCACTAAGATCTAGCATCCGTAATTAGTGACGTTTAGCATACACTTTATCGCCTGGCTGTGAGTTGTTTAATCGCCATCGGCTATAAAAGGCTATAAGAAATTGTGTAGCCGGCTATAGAGGCTATAGGAAATCTTATAGCCGGTCGTAGGTCTATGGTATTTTGGAACACAGATTGCCAATTTTTACCCGGGAAGCAATTTTAAAGAGTTTGCAGCAACAGTTCTCCATCTTAAAAGGCATTTTAAGGAATAATATGCACTTGAATAACACACTTACCCTATTTATATGAATTTTATTGTAATGGACTGGGAGAGGTATGAGTTTGAGCAATACACTTCATCTTATCTCTTTTATATTTTTACGAGGAATGTGAATCAAACAACGGGAAGTTTCGTAAGCAACTTTTAAAATATGTAAATGTTAAAAATGAACATTGATTAAAAAGCAAACATAGAAAAACCATTTTGGAACGACAATTCCTGGCTCAGTTTAAAAACAACATATATATAATTACGCATACGTGACAATTGTGTTCCATACAGATTTTTTTTTTTTTTTTTTTTTTTTTTTTTTTTTTTTTTTTTTTTTACGAATGAGCGGGTAATGGTTATTCCTAATAACAAAATTTAGTTAATTCGTTCTGTTCTAAGGTTATTCATTTCTATCACGTTCAACAGTTGATTTCCAAAATTCTCGTTGTGTGAATCATTTACTTCATTATACTTAGAAAAAGGTTTTGTAGCTGTTTGTCTAGTCCAGAGCTACCATTCAAACAAGTGTGGTCATCGTTGGAAGTGAGTTTTTGGGTATTATTTTTGTTTTTTCTTTCGCTTTTTGCAGTTGAAAATGGTGCCGCATCTTGCTCGGTAGCCAAATAATTTATTTGTTTTTCTTCTTTGTTTTTTTATATCATGCATGTGTTTCGTTGGGCTGCTTTGTAATTTTACATCACACCATGTTGCCACAGTAAAAACTAGTTTAAATCTATGAGAGAAACTTTTGAATGTAAAGTTTACGAAGAACTTCGTTCCTGCTTTGAACGGCCGACCGGCCCACGGTGGATCGAGTCAATTAGAGAGGTCGGACATGAATATTTTTTACTAAAACTTCAAATTTTGATGTTTATTTCGTCACATATTAAATTTCAAGGGGTGCTTGTTGGAGGAAATTTCACGAGGAAACCAATGGGACAGCTTTCAGAACATCAACAATTTGCATGAACGGAGTTAAAGGCGTTTAAATTTTCCAAATTTAGTCCAACTTCTCCTATTGATTCGATCCACTGTGCGGCGCGAAGCAAAGGATCCGAGATATTATCATCGGCGACAGCGGAAAGGGTTACCGTAAAATGCGGAGATATAAAACTTACGTGAAATTATGTTCCATAGGTAAAGGCCAGGAATTCCGGCCAAAGAGGTAATTGGCGTTGTGGCCGTGTTGATGACGGAAAATATGGCGGCGATAATTGAGAACACTAATCCTAGGGCCATGCTCGCCACGGTGACTAGCCAGTAATTGTAGACCAAAAATTCCGGGTCCTCCCTCATAAATTCGACGACTGTCAAACAGAGAACGCAGAACGAGCATTTTAGAATTTTCACTGGAAATTAAACCACGGGACAAGGACAATGAAATTCGGGATGGTCGCTGATGAACGCGGTGCGGCTTGTTTCGTGACTACAACTTCCGTTGCCGGATGGTGCAAGATCATAAAAGTTGGATGTGGGCAGAGAAATGCAAAAAGGAATGGTTTTTAACTAGAACTCACGAATAGATCAAAGTAAGTAGGAATTGAAAGTACACTCCATCAGAAAGTATTGGCATTATTTGAGGACATTAAGTTTGATGTTCAGATTGTGTAAGTGATTGCATCCTTTACAGCTGAAATATTTGATATTCCTTGTAGAAGTTTCCTTCTTAAAATCCTTTCTCTTCTTCTCCCTTAAATTCCTCTGCAACACTCTTTTTCAGTCTGTTAGTCTATTCGCTAAAAGTTCTGAGAAATATGCATACCACATGCAGCGCTTTGTTAATCATGAATTTTTGAATCATTTCAATGAAATGCTGCCATACGCAGTTTATCATGTTTCACAGGACTTTGAAGCGGCATTAGTTTTCCTTCAATTCACAGGGTAGGCAGCAAGACCTACATAAAGGTGGAATAGTTGTGTCACAATGGACCAGTAGACAACGTACATCAGTTATGCGAATTTTGGATTCCCCGCTAACATGAAAAACAATGAACTACACGAATGAAATGAACAAAAAAAAAATGAAGGCGTCCCTCGCCGAGATAATGATTTTGAGGGTTTTCACACATCATGCCGATGCTCATTATTGCATGTAAGCGAAAAAAACACGTGAACTGCTCACGGATCGTCGGCAATCGCTGATTCCATGCGACATAAATTTATTCGTGCTTGAAGGCTAGGTACAGGCAAACTTTTTCGGATGCCCCCTAAAAATACTTAGTGTAGCGCATTGACTAAGAGTCAAATTGTAAGACGGTATATAACCTCATGGCGAATGTTCGTCCTTTAACATTTTCAGGGTTGCCATAAAATCCCCTGACTTTCCTTAACTTTTTTCGCTTTTTCCTGACTCCTTAAGTGTCCAATTTTCTGACTTTCCCTGGCTTTTGAATAAAATTTCCATCAAGAAAACAAAACGCTGACTTTTGCTGGACTTTGATAAGTAGATATGTCAGAAATGTCCACACTTTTCCCACGAACCCCCTAGCTTTCCATGTCTTTTCCCGGTCTTTGCAAATTCCTTGATTTCCGCAGATTTTCCCGGTTTCCCAGACCACCGGCAGCCCTGCATTTTTACAGGCAGATCATTCAACATTCAATTACTGTTCCATATTCGAACGAATACGTTCATTGGTGTTTAGGGTTTTCTATGGATCCCTTTGTTTGAGACTTTCGGATTCGACCTGGCACCGTTACTTTCCACTTGCGTATGGTGGTGGGAGTGGTAGCGGCGGTCAACATGCTCGATGTGCTGTAAAATCGCAATCGGTCATTAACTCATTTTAAGGGAGGGATCGGTATACGTTTCCACCTGACATACCGTTGCGGCTTGACCGTAAGGCCGTTACTGCATTTTCAGGAAGAGCTCTGTTGTGCGCGAAACTCTAGGTTTTCGACATTTTCGAGGCTGAAGTGAACTAGACGTATTTATGCTAAATGGATATATGTGTAAGTGGAAAGATGGGGTGTGCTCGTTAGTTGTCGGGCCATAAGAATGAATGGGAAATATACGGCGGCAGTGACGTCAGCGGCAACGACGTGAGAAATTAAGATCAGGAAGGCGGTCTTTAACTCATGAGCCCTGTCCATAAGGCTCTAGATACATGCTCAAGGCTTACGAGTTGGCACTCAGTTCTTTTCGATTTTATTGAAAATTCGCTTTTCCATTTTCTAAAAAGAAACTATATCCACTTTTACATCCGGCTTCCACGAGCACTCCCCATCTTTCCACTTGCATGCTGCCGTGCTAAGGCAGAATGCCGTATGAGCCATCAAGCGTTGTTATACATTTCCCTCGATAAAATAAGAGTTGACTCGAAAACTGTGAATATTTTTATCAAAATTTTTCAGAGAAGTTGTACATCTCCAGTACCTGATAATTTAAAGAAAAATATGCACAACTTTCCTCAAGAATACATTTTTTATGCGGGGAAATTGGGCAACTCTTGAATGTACATACTGTTTTCTTCCTTAGCCGGCAGCGTTAGACAGATACTCTATAATATCTATAACTTGAATTTTGCACTCTGCGGTATTTAATTGAGTTTATTTAATTTTGCCTTTAGATTGCTTACATAATATTATTAAACCTAATTCTAATACAAGGATGTAGTAGAATATAACTTAATAATAATCAAGCACTTCAAAGGCAAAATTAAATGAACTCAATCAGATTCTGTATATAAAACAAAATCCACGTCACTATTTTTGGTGTCCCCCGTGCACATTTTTATATGCCCTTGCTACCGCGGCTATGCCGCACAAAGGATCGAGTCAATCGGAGAAGATGGACATAACATTTTTGACTAAAATTTCATAGTTTGATGCTTAATTCGTCAAATTTTAAATTTTAAGGGGTGCCGTTAGCAGAGAATTTTACGATAAAACCAATGGAACCCCTTTTAGAATCTCAAAGTTTTGTATAAACGGAGTTATGAGCTTTTAAAGTTTCCAAAATTTGTCCAACGTCTCCAATTCACTCCATCCACTGTGCGACGTGAAGCAAACCGCTGTCGGATAAAATTTCATTAAAATGCAACTTTGTGTGCAAGTCTACAGCTGAGACGGCCGGAGTAGACAGTAACCGTGATAGAGGGGGGGAGGGAGTGTGTTACACCGCAAAAAATAATCCCGAAAGTAATAAGTGTCATATTTCCCGCGCGGCACAGGCGCAGTGTCTTCGGCGTTGCCTGCGGAAAGGGCGAATGCAACGACCGGACTTACGTACTGCCAAGCTACGGAAAAACGCCGTATGAGCGTTCCAGAGTTGCCAAATTTCTTCCGCTAAAATGCTCAGTTTTGAGGCTTGCTCTGAATATTTTCTATTGAAATTTTTTGGTAATTTAGATCTGATTACGAATAAAATTCCCTAAAAAACTTGAAGGAAAATATTCACAAATTTCCTAGATAATCGATATTTTATTGGAGGGAATTTGGCAACGTCTGAAGGCTCATACGGCGTTTTTCCTTAGTACGGCAGCGTACCTCGGGAGGTACTTGGTGCTGCAGTGCCGAGTTTTATTGAACGCATCAATTTTAAATTTTCCGTAATGACAAAAACGGCGCCTCCTTCCCCCCTCCTGTTCACCCGGATCCCGCAGCGGGGGAAACTAATCTCAAGGAAAGCATACGGATGCACACAAATTAGGGTCTCTAGGTTGCAACGGGCGCGTTGTTGCCATTCTGATTGCACGGTAAAATGTTCACTGAAAAAAAAAGGATGTTAATTTAACATTTTGGAGGGGAAAAGTGTGCGACAACTCACAAAATGCTGAATTAACCACTATACAGCAGTTACTTTTGCAATGTCAAGATGTAAAACTAACTGCTAGGGTGGTTCATTCAGCGTTTCGTGAGGTGTCGTACACTTTTTTACATCCAGAATGTTTAATCAGCATCTTTTTTTCGGCGTTTATGTAAAAAAATTCGTACCTTGAAAGTTATCACCGGCGCGATTTTTACCGGAACTGAGTTATGAATCATTTGCGATTCCTCTTTTTTGTACTTACGAAAAATATCATTTTCTGCTGAGGTCGAATCATTGAATATTTTGAAAATTTTAGGATCAACGAAAGTGCGTATGGCAGGTGCCGTTTATCAATGAAAAGATAAATAGCAATTTTCGTCAAAAAAAAAAAAAAAAAAAAAAAAAAAAAAAAAAAAAAAAATTGCAATGCATGACACCTGTCGTAATTCTCACCGGTCTAGTGGCGATTCTAACAAGTTGGCACTGTAAGTTAACACTGTTGATACTACGAATCGATTGTTTTATATACATTTAAATGGAGAGGAAAAAGTGTTGCCAACTTTCATGCATCTCCGCTGCATCGCATCGGTCCCTTCGTAATACGCGTATGTGACGCAAAATAATTTTCCGCAAGAAATTTCGCAATTGCTCAATTGAACTGATTATTTTCCAAATCACGTTAGAGCCAATCTCTATTTTGTTGGTTCGTTTTTTCTTTGTTTTCCCTGCTTAACGAATCCTGTCTGATTTCAAAATAGCCTTTTAAAAGAACATACATTTTTTGGGATTCGAAGATTGTCAACAAAGCAAACAAAACGGGTTTTCTTGTTCTTCTCGCATTCGCAATTTCGGTGCTTACGTGATTTGGAAAATAATCGGTTAAATTTTTGAGCGTTAAATAACACCAGCTGCGTCCCTCATTCGATCCTCTTAACGCAGCATCACGGAGACCTGAGCCCCTGCCCCTACCCTACAAGTGCGTTATGCCATGATTTAACGCTGCCCTTACAAACAATAATACAGCAAAAAAGCGTCTGAACGTTTAAACGATTCTCTTTAACGCAGTTTACGGTACATTATTTCTCCCACGTTCATCCCGACTCTTGGTGCACGGTAATCACGCCCCCCC